TCCATAAATTGATTGTGGTGCACTATATTTCTTTGATGAGACAAGAGAACAAAATTAGGAAAGTTTTTGAACGCTTCTTGTCTCCAGACTATAGAAATCACTCCCATCCTAAGATAAGCATCATATGAGAAAAGACACAACACTAATGAAATTTAAAAAAAAAAAAACTTAGACCAATGAAACCACAGTTCTATTAATAATACTGGTTCTGTCAACTGACTGTGTGTTTTTAGGAAGAAGGAACTTATTTTTATCAATGTAAGACTTTCAAAGTCTGTTTCAGTTCCAACATTCCATGGAAAGGGATTCATTAGAGATCTTTAAGATAGTAAGAATCAAAACTTGTCCTAAGGGCCCGAACAGTAAATATTTCAGTCTTGTGGGCTTACCAGCCTCTGCATTAACTACTCAACTCCGTTGTAAATGAAAACAGCTATGGACAACAACTAAATGTAAGAGCATGTCTGTGCTCCAGTAATACTTTACCAATGGACACTGAGATCTGAATTTCAAAACTTTCATATTTTTGTTCTTTTTTTTCCCAAACATTTAAAAATGTAAAAATCATTCTTAGCTTGCAGGTCATACAAAAAATAGATGACAGGAAAGTTTAGACCTACAGGACATAGTTTGCTGACTCCTGGTCTATGGCAATAGGTAAATATTATGATCTGAAAAATCACACTGGTGATTCAGGGTAACACTGGAAGGCCAGTAACTCAGGTTCAACTACTGACAGTAGTACTGGAAAGGTTTTTTTTTCCCTAACCCAGTGTCCCAACTAGCAGAATAGGATAATGGTAACTTTTGAATCTCAGTGAATAATCAACAATTATTGAAGTTTTGAGTACATTTTCAGGCCTATGGAAATGCTAAAATTATCACAACACATGAGAAAATATATACAAGAAATTTAAGGCTGTCTGGCAGGCAAAGTTTTGATAACCATAATATGAATAAGAAAAATGTATGTCTTCTCTTGAAATCATTCCTTATACTCAGTAACCCTAAAGAATCCTTTTTGCTACCCTATTTCTCTATCAGGTAGCATATTGAGTGATTATACACATTTGAGAGAGAGGAAATTAGACACTGGTTATTGTTCTTGCTTGGACTTGGTAATTACACAAATTATATGCATACACATGTGGCATCGATGTATACACTACAAGTACAAGGTAAGTGACAGATATACAGTACTACTGTATATACAGTAGTATATACAGAGTGACCGATATACAGAGTACTACTATATGACGCCTGATATACAGAAGATGATTTTTAAAAAGAGAAAGACTGGATGGTCAAATAATCACCCTTCTTTAGAGTGAACTTCAATTAAGAGATGGCAAAAGATGGAATAGTACAGTGATAGCACCTCTCTCAATTTCAGTGAGAGGGTAGGATGTGAACATTTAATAAAACAACTACTACGTGCTTCCAGTGAAGAGGGGAGATGGAGATAGGTTTGGGGGGAGAGCCCCTTCTTAGGAGAGAGAAAACCTAAAAGGTTATTTGCATCCAGGAAGATGTAAGAAGTTGGGAGTGCCTCATCAGTCATGCCCTATTCTTAATTTACAATTTAACCAAAGTCAGTTGGTCACTAGAAGTGTAAAGAGGTTAACATTCCCAGTCTCAAGCTTCTGAACACTTTCCTCCAAAATATTAAAAGCCCAGACCCGTCCTCAACAGCTGGTCTTCACAATGTTATTGTCCATTATTTGTCTCCACTCTGGCTGAGGCCTGTCTCCACCTTATTCCCCGCATCTCTGCCCTCAATCTTGTCTTGGCCTCTTTGTTGAAACTATTTTCTCTTCTTGGATCCCCTTCCATCTTTATTCCATGTTTCCCATTCCTACCTATATACCAGGGCCCAGCATTAGTTCTAGCTGTACTGTGAAGACCCCCAAGAACTCCAGCCAAAGCAATATTTTCCCCAAATAATACAAGTCAGGAGTCCACAGCCTCCAGGATTTAATGGCTGATGATTGGAGGTTGAGCTGATGAAATACTAATAGAAATAATGCACACAATAAATGTAATGTGCTTGAATCATCTCGAAACCATCCCCAGCCACTGCCCGACCCAGTCCATGGAAATATTGTCTTCCACGAAACCAGTCCCTGGTACCACAAAGTTGAGGACTGCTGAAACAACCAAAGGAGTGCTCTAAAAGCTGCAAAGCTCCTGTAGATATGTAATATTATTATTAATATTAGTATAGTAGTATTACTATCTTTTGGAGAAATTAACTATAAATAAAATTTGGCATTTCTCATATCTTGCTTTAGAGTGTTTCCTAATTGTTTCATACACAGATGACATTAACAAACCACAAGCTATTAAGGCAGGAGTCACACATCGTATTTCTTCTGTATCCTCAAAGTCTCTAGTGCTTAGCTACAGTTAACAAACAATTCCAAGGAAATGAATTATCAAAATAATGGCTTTCTTAACCACAGAACTCCTCATTGGGCCAAATAAACATAAGTTGTTAAACACAAAAGAAACCATCAATCAGTACACATGACTGCAAATGAAACCTTGAGAGCAGAATAAATGTGAGATGTACTTTCAATGGAATTCAACTATCTTCTTCCATTTCACTCATAAAGTTGTGGTTGGGGAGCTGAACGCCCTAAATCAGAGACTGAGTGTTCCAGGACTGAATAGTTTGCTTCAAGATGCTTCAGATTTTTGTGTAAGGTCAAAGGTTAGAATAGTGCAGCTGTCCTATTTGGTACATTTTTTTGTCCATCCACGCTTCCTGATTCAGCAGTGTAACATGCATTCTTTGTCTTATTTCCTTTGGTTGGCCTGATTTACGGATCTTTTAGTCTACAGACTATAACTTCAGGATAAAATCATGAAAAGTTTTGGTTTGCAGTTAGGCAAGAGCAGTTTGCTAAAAGCATGGACCACATCTCCATTCCCAAATGTCCGAAGGTGTAGCTACAGAAGATTTGATTTGACCCTGACTCCTCTTCCCCAGTCTGCCCCATGATAGTAGGATGATCCTTGCTATAGTGTAAGTCCTAAGGCTAACATTAGAATAATGCCAAATACAATAAAGCGAGGTGAGGACAAATGAAAACGTGACGTTATTACAGAATCAGTACCTTAGGGACTTGGTTTTCTCCAAGATGGTTCTCAGGGATCCCTTAATGACTGGGTCTGACCCACTCTCTGAGGCCTAATTTGACTTGATCCCAAGTCCTTTGGCCCACGCAGCCAGTAGGACTTGAACTGTGATACCCACTAGATTCCGAAACAGGCGCTAACGGGTTGCCTGGACTCTGGGCCTCGCACCGGCTGTGCTGTCTCCATGGTAACAGCGCGGAAGGCATTAAAAGCAGTTCTCTTCCGTCCAACGACCAGCCCTCCGGCGGGACTGACCAATGGTCCCGTGGGTTAACTAAGAGATGGTGTGATTGACAACGGGATGGGGCGGGCACGGGGGGGCAAGGACGGCCTCTATTCAATAGAACTTGAAGCCTGTCCCAGGACCCGCAGCCACCGACCAATCAGAGTGCGTAACGGAGGGCGACGTGCCCACCCACCACGCTCCGTGTTGCCTGGAGCCTCGGCGGCGTAAGCAAATGAGAGGAAACTCGGGAGTTAAAAGAGTGGCGCTGATTAGCCAATCCAGAATCTCCTAGATGAAAGCCCACTTGTGATTCGTCCTGAGTAGACCCAAGCCCCGGTCGGCTGAAACTGGCTGGACTGAGAGGAGTGAGTGGGGGACCTGGGAGATGCGAAACCAGGTGAGCGGGGTGGAGGTGAGGAAAATAGGGGCGGCTGAAGAGAGGAGAGTGAATGGCAGGGGATTGTGGCTGACGGGGGACTGGAATGAGGCTGGGGGCGATGGCGGGGCAGGGACCGGTCATACTACCATCACCACTGTTCTGCACCCGAGGTCCGGCGGCCAGTAAATACTGAATTGGGGGAAATCTTGTGATCAAAACCTTAATTTCTCTCCCAACTACTGGGAAGTGGCCGGGCGAACATTCTGAAGATGAGAACTGGGGGACACTGTTTTCCTGTTGCCAGTTTGAATCAGCGACCGGGCAGGGAAATTGTTCACTCTCCAGCACTGTAGGGCTGCCAGCTGCGGGCCCGCGGGTGGTGTGGATGACAGACAGGCTGTCGTTGCCCACTTTCAAATCACCACAGCACCCAGGAAAAAGGGTGGAAGGATGTAATCTGGATCCACTGATCTTCCTTTTCTATCATCGCATGAAGAGATGGTGCCATATCGGTGGCATTTTGGTAGTATGGCAATTGATTTTTCCCAGACTTGCATTTGGTATCATTACAAGAGTAGAGGCATTATCCTAATATTTTAAAATTCAAACCATGTTGAAGTGTTTAAAGTAGGAAAAAGTGTGAAAGTTCACCCTCTCCCACCCAATTATTTTTGAAGACTTGGAACAGCTATAAAGGAAAAAGGAACCCTCCAGAAAATAGTTCTCTCCTGTAACCCATTCTTTTCGTTTTTCTTTAAGACTTACTTTTTTTTGAGGTAACATTGGTTTATAACATTGTATGTTTCATGTGTACAACATTGTATTTCCACCTCTATATGCCCTACGGTGTGCTCACCACCAAAAATTTAGTCTCTATCAGTCACCCTACAGTTGATCCCCTTTAGCCATTTTGTACCCTCCCCCACATTCTCCTCTGATAACCACTGCTCTGTTCTCTGGATCTCCCTCTTGTTTTGGTTTGCTTTGTTCATTTTTGTTGGCTTATTCCTAGTATGAGTGAAATTATGTGGTATTTGTCTTTCTCCACTTACTTCATTTAGCATAATAACCTTAAGAGCTATCCATGTTGGCATGGCAAGATTTCATCTTTTTTAATGGTTCAATAGTGTTCCATTTTATATATGTATATATATTGGTGGCTCAAATGGTAAAGAACCTGCCCGTAATGCAGGAGACTGGGGTTTTATCCCTGGGTTCGGAAGATCCCCTGGAGAAAGAAATGGCTACCACTTGTGATTCGTCCTGAGTAGACCCAAGCCCCGGTCGGCTGAAACTGGCTGGACTGAGAGGAGTGAGTGGGGGACCTGGGAGATGCGAAACCAGGTGAGCGGGGTGGAGGTGAGGAAAATAGGGGCGGCTGAAGAGAGGAGAGTGAATGGCAGGGGATTATGGCTGACGGGGGACTGGAATGAGGCTGGGGGCGATGGCGGGGCAGGGACCGGTCATACTACCATCACCACTGTTCTGCACCCGAGGTCCGGCGGCCAGTAGATACTGAATTGGGGGAAATCTTGTGATCAAAACCTTAATTTCTCTCCCAACTACTGGGAAGTGGCCGGGCGAACATTCTGAAGATGAGAACTGGGGGGCACTGTTTTCCTGTTGCCAGTTTGAATCGGCGACCGGGCAGGGAAATTGTTCACTCTCCAGCACTGTAGGGCTGCCAGCTGCGGGCCCGCGGGTGGTGTGGATGACAGACAGGCTGTCGTTGCCCACTTTCAAATCACCACAGCACCCAGGAAAAAGGGTGGAAGGATGTAATCTGGATCCACTGATCTTCCTTTTCTATCATCGCATGAAGAGATGGTGCCATATCGGTGGCATTTTGGTAGTATGGCAATTGATTTTTCCCAGACTTGCATTTGGTATCATTACAAGAGTAGAGGCATTATCCTAATATTTTAAAATTCAAACCATGTTGAAGTGTTTAAAGTAGGAAAAAGTGTGAAAGTTCACCCTCTCCCACCCAATTATTTTTGAAGACTTGGAACAGCTATAAAGGAAAAAGGAACCCTCCAGAAAATAGTTCTCTCCTGTAACCCATTCTTTTCGTTTTTCTTTAAGACTTACTTTTTTTTGAGGTAACATTGGTTTATAACATTGTATGTTTCATGTGTACAACATTGTATTTCCGCCTCTATATGCCCTACGGTGTGCTCACCACCAAAAATTTAGTCTCTATCAGTCACCCTACAGTTGATCCCCTTTAGCCATTTTGTACCCTGCCCCACATTCTCCTCTGATAACCACTGCTCTGTTCTCTGGATCTCCCTCTTGTTTTGGTTTGCTTTGTTCATTTTTGTTGGCTTATTCCTAGTATGAGTGAAATTATGTGGTATTTGTCTTTCTCCACTTACTTCATTTAGCATAATAACCTTAAGAGCTATCCATGTTGGCATGGCAAGATTTCATCTTTTTTAATGGTTCAATAGTGTTCCATTTTATATATGTATATATATTGGTGGCTCAAATGGTAAAGAACCTGCCCGTAATGCAGGAGACTGGGGTTTTATCCCTGGGTTCGGAAGATCCCCTGGAGAAAGAAATGGCTTCCCACTCCAATATTCTTGCCTGGAGAATTCCATGGACAGAAGAACCTAGAGGGCTATAGTCCACAGGGTCCCAAAGAGTTGGACACAATTGAGTGACTAACACTTTCACTTCATCTGTATATATACATACACCCAACTTGTTTATCCATTCACCTGTTGAAAGGCACTGGAGTTGTTTCCATATTTTAGATATTGTAAATAATGCTTTGGTGAACACAGAGTCACATATATCTTCTCAAATTGGTGTTTTCATGTTCTTTGGATAAATGTCCAGAAATGGGGTAGCTGGGTTTTTTGGTAGTTGTATTCTTAATTTTTTGAGGAATCTCCATACTGTCTTCCATAGTGCCTGCGTGCTCTGTCACTAAGTCATGTCTGACTCTTTGCAACCTCATGGACTGTAGCTCTCAGGCTCCTCTGTCCATGAATTCTCCAGGCAAGAATGCTGGAGTGGGTAGCTGTTCCCTTCCCCAGGGAATCTTCTCAACCCAGGGATCGAACCTGGGTCTTCTGCACTGCAGGCATTTTTTTTTTTACCATCTGAGGAAGATAGCCAACCACCAGGGAAGCTCAATTCTCAAAAGAGGGTTCAAAAAGCCTTGTATATTAAATAAAAGGCTTCCCAGATGGCACAGTGGTAAAGAATCCACCTGCCAATGCAGGAGACACAGGAGGCACCAGTTTGATCAGTGGGTTGGGAAAATCCCTTGGAGAAGGAAATGACAACCCACTCCTGTGTTCTTGCCTGGAGAATTCTTTTTATTTTTTATCAAGTTTTACTCAGTAATTTAGCTATTCCAATTAGAGAAATAGTCACAAGCATTGTGCCCACGCTCAGTTAACAAGATAAAATGAGTAGTTGTTCACTCTTTCCCCACAAAAACATTCTGTACTTTATCCAGCCCTTCCTTTCTATGCTTATTAAGAAAATGTATGGTTTGGTTATAAAGTGACAAACTTCATTCTTATAAGAGGTTGGGGATATTCATCGCAAACCTTTAAAGCTGTACCATGTACAGAACCCAATGTCTCATGAACTTTCATGTTTCTCTGGAGGAGTGAAGGGCAAAACCAGCTTCAACTACCATTTGCCCTGTATTCTAGGTGTTAGAGTTGGTACAAGTCTTACAGGTAACTTGCGTAATATCCCAAACAGCAGCAACTACACTTAACTAGTTATCTTGCTAAAGGCAGTACCATCAGTTCGGTCAACCAAGCAGGAAACCTGAGTCACCTCTAATGCCACCTTCCTGAGCCCCTTCCCATTTCCACAGCTAAGATGAAGCCCAGACCTGCCTCATCTCTTATCTGGAGAATTGCAGTAGTCTCCTAACTGGTCACTAGTCTCTGTTCTCTGATCTCAGCTCATATGTACCCTGCTACCAATTACCTTTTTAAAAATTAATATTTATCTCAAAAATTTCAAAAATACTGAATATTGCCCTGGAAATTATAACAAAGACCCATGCACAAACAACTAGATTAATAAACATTAACTTTTTCCACTCATCTGCTTAAGTTTTTTTATTTTCAAGAAATAAACCATCACAGATTTAGTTCAGATCCCTTTGTTCTCTTTCCTGGCCCCATTCTCCTTCCTTCCTCCCTCCCCAGAGACATACAATCTCCTGAAATTGTTTTGCACCACTTATGCCCATGCTTTTATGTTTACTGTATATGTGTATCTCATAAATATATAATGATTTAGGTATTTTTTTAATTTTAAAGATACAAATAGTATAGTACTGTGGGCCTCATTCTGCAACTTGCTTTTAGACTCTATTGTTTTTTATTGGGTTGACCAAAAAGATCATTTGGGTTTTTCCGTAAGGTATTATGGAACACACTTTTTGGCCAACCCAGTAGATACATTCATGTCAGTACAGCTAGCTCAAGTTCATTCGTTTTAAGTAGTCATGAGTATATAATACTCAACCCCTTACTAATGGACATTTAGATTTTCTCAGATGTTTTGCTATCATGAACACCCTTGTTCACATCTCTTTATGCCAGAGTTTATTTATCTAGGCTTGGGCTTCCCTTATAGCTCAGTTGGAAAAGACTCTGCCTGTAATGCAGGAGACCCGGGTTCGATCCCTGGGTCGGGAGGATCCCCCGAAGAAGGAAATGGCAATCCACTCCAGTTCTTGCCTAGAGAATCCCATGGACAGAGGAGCCTGGCAGGCTACAGTCCATTGGATTGCAAGAGTCAAATTTGACTTGGCGACTAAACCTCCACCTGGTTCTTTAAGGGGGTGGCATTGCCCCTTTGGTCATTTTGGAGTTTGTGAGGGCACCTTTGGTTTATTAGTGTAATTTTGGAGGCACTCCTGGGGTTTACAGAGCAGGACTGGGGCTACTGGAAGTCCCGTGATACACTAGACAGCCCCTCACCATGAAGAATTGTCTTTCATCCTGCACAACATCCCAAGTGTCTCACAGGATACTCATTTCTAATATGAACCCAGAATCTAACTCCATTTTTTGTATAAGCATAATGTATCTTTTGGCACAGTTGAACATAGTAAAATTTCCAGGAATGCAACTCTAATGTAAATCAGGGGGAAATTATACTTATTTGTAGTTTGGAACTCTTAACAGTCGTTCATCACTGTAGAAAACCCCGCAACTGAAGGCAGCCCAGCCCGTGGTATTTGAGTTGCCGTAAAACACACCTGCATCAGCCTGCATTTGTAGCTTTTGCATTCATGCCGATTCTAAGTTTAGGTGTGAGCATCTGAGTGCGGTCCTTCATTATNTATATCTTTGAATAAAGTTTTATACTTTTTGCCATAAAAATCTTCACATCTTTTGTTGGATTTATTCCTACTTACCCATATATACTTATTCATACACACAACCCTTTTATTGCAAAAGTTGCAAATATATTCAAAAGTATAGAACATAGTATAGGAAAATTCATATATTCACCACTCCAGCTTCAACAGTGAATTCATGACTAGCCTTGTTTTATATTGACCCCTTTCTCCTCTGTCCTAGATGATTATAAAATTCCTAGACATCATTTTCTGTTATTTGTGTTGTGTGTGTTTGTGTATTTGTATATTAAAAGTAATCTTTTAGTAATATAACCACATCATCACATTAAAAAAAAAACATTATTTTTCACTTAAAAAATAAACAGTGATTCTCTAACATCGTCAAATACCCAGATACTGTTCAAATTTCTCCAGTCACCTCATAAAAGGTTTTGGATAGCGGGTTTGTTTGAGTCAGGAACCAAACAAGGCCCATATATTACATTTGTCTGGTATGTCTCTTCAGACTTTCTTTGAAGTAAACTTTTTTGTAAAAGTAAAAGTGTAAGACACATAATGAAAAATATGCAAATCAGAAGTGTACAGCTAGATACAGTTTAACAGAATTAACAAAGCTGTGTAACCCACACCCAGCTGAAGAAACAAAATTTCATAAGCACCCCAGAAGCCCCTTTAGTCACTTCTTTCTACAAGGCAACCACACTCCTGACTTCCAACCCCCAAATTAGTTTGAGCTGTTTTTGAACATTATACACGTTACTACACAGTGTGAACTCTTTTGCCTCTAGCTTTTTACACTTAATATTTGCAAAACTTACCACATTGCTGGGTATAGTTGTAGTCTGTTCATTCTTGCTTCTATTTACTCTTCCATTGTATGAATGAATAAATTGTATCTATAATACCAACTCTTTGCAATCCTAAGGACTATAGCCCACAAGGCTCCTCTGTCCATGGAATTTTCCAGGCAAGAATACTGGAGTGGGTTGCAATTTGCTCCTCCAGGGGATCTTCCCTACCCAGGGATTGAACCTGGGTCTTCTGCATCTCCTGCATTAGCAGGAAGATCTTTTTAACACTAGTGCCACCTAGAAAGCTCACCTTATCTATTCAATTGATGTGTATTAGGGCATTTCAGTTTGTGACTATTTCTAATAGGTCTGCCCTGAACTTTTGTGCATCTTTTAATGAACTTATGACATGTCTGTTGGGGACACACCCAGGAAGAGAACAGCTGGATCTAGGGTTAACATATTCAGCTTTATTAGATAAAGCCAGAGTCTCCAAAGTGCTAATAACAACTTACACTCTCACCAGCAGAGTGCAAGGCTTCCAGTTACTCCACATTTTTGTCAACACTTGGAGTTGTCCATCATTTTCCTTTTAGCCATTCTGGTAGGTGTCTAGAGGTACTGTATTTTATTTGCAATTTCCTAATGAAGGAGATGGGAATACCAGACCACCTGACCTGCCTCTTGAGAAACCTGTATGCAGGTCAGGAAGCAACAGTTAGAACTGGACATGGAACAACAGACTGGTTCCAAATAGGAAAAGGAGTACGTCAAGGCTGTATATTGTCACCCTGCTTATTTAACTTATATGCAGAGTACATCATGAGAAACGCTGGGCTGGAAGAAGCACAAGCTGGAATCAAGATTGCCGGGAGAAATATCAATAACCTCAGATATGCAGATGACACCACCCTTATGGCAGAAAGTGAAGAAGAACTAAAGAGCCTCTTGATGAAAGTGAAAGAGGAGAGTGAAAAAGTTGGCTTAAAGCTCAACATTCAGAAAACTAAGATCATGGCATCTTGTCCCATCACTTCGTGGCAAATAGATGGGGAAACAGTGGAAATGGTGGCTGACTTTATTTTCTTGAGCTCCAAGATCACTGTAGTTGGTGATTGCAGCCATGAAATTAAAAGATGCTTACTTCTTGGCAGGAAAGTTATGACCAACCTAGACAGCATATTAAAGCAGAGACATTACTTTGCCAACAGAGGTCTGTCTAGTCAAGGCCATGGTTTTTCCAGTAGTCATGTATGGATGTGAGAGTTGGACTATAAAGAAAGCTGAGTGCCAAAGAATTGATGCTTTTGAACTGTGATGTTGGAGAAGACTCTTGAGAGTCCCTTGGACTGCAAGGAGATCCAACCAGTCCTTCCTAAAGGAGATCAGTCCTGGGTGTTTATTGAAAGGACTGATGTTGAAGCTTGATGCCAAGAGCTTACTCATTTGAAAAGACCTTAATGCTGGGAAAGATTGAGGGCAGGAGGAGAAGGGGACGACAAAGGATGATATGGTTGGATGGCATCACTGACTCAATGGACATGAGATTGGGTAGGCTCTGGGAGTTGGTGATGGACAGGGAGGCGTGGCGTGCTGCGGTTCATGGAGTCACAGAGTCGGACACAACTGAGCAAATGAACTGAACTGAATGACTAATGAACTTGAGCACTTTTCACATAAATATTGGCCATTTGTATATCCTATGTCAGGGGTTTATTCTTAGCTGCTTGATCTGTCAGTTTCTGAGAGAGACCTATTAAGACCTGTATTGATGAATCCTCTTCCCACACCAGTCATCAGAAGTTTCCCAGAGTGAATTCAGACTTTCTGTGTCTGACCCCCTAGGAAACCCAGGAGCACCCAGAAGCCCAGCAGTACCATAACACCAGGACCAGCTCATCGCACGGTGCCCGGCGCTCAGCTGCAGCCCCCGCATGGCTGGCACGGTGCTCGGCGTGGGGGCCGGCGTGTTCCTCCTTGCCCTGCTCTGGGTGTCCGTGCTGGTGCTGTGTGTCCTGCTGTCCAGAGCCTCGGGGGTAGCTAGGTAAGGCTTTCTCTCCAGCCGCGAGGCCGAGGTAAAAGCAATTAGATGCGAAATTGCTGACGCTCATGAAACATTTAGAATTCAGAAGCTCATTGTCATTACCGGCAGTTGGAAGGGGTTGCATTTTAACCTCTTTATCATAAGCACTGACTGTATTATTTATACTCGGAAGCAGAGGTGGGAGGAGAAGGGAGGGGGTACATGTCAGCTCTCAGCATACAGGAGATGAGGACATAGGAGATGAAAAGAGAATCTGCTTTCGCTGCCGCTTGAGTTTCTTGGGGTCACACGTGTGCATGTTTCCTAATTGTTGAGATTGATGGCAGGTGCTGGATCCAGCCCCTGAGGCTCCAGACCAGGGCCCCGGGAAGCTGAAGGGTTGTGGATGACTTGGGCTGGTGTTGACTTCAAGAATCAGGGCATAAACTGACCCTAAGGACACTGTAGACTCATACTCCCTGGCCAGATTGTGTAGGTACAAAACGAGTTACATCATTCACTGAAGTTTTCTGGTTTCAAACACAGCAGTGGGAGATCAGGGAGGGGCCACTTCGGGTTTTCCTCTGACCACACAGAGGTCAAAATAAAAACTACCTATTCCTGACAGAGTACGATTGACATATATACACTACTATGTGTAGAACTGACCAGTGGGAACCTGCTGAATGACACAGGGAGCCCCGCTCCGTGCTCTGTAATGACCTAGAGGGGTGGGATGGGGGTGGGTGGGAGGCTCAAGAGTGAGGGGATGTATGTGTACATAGAGTTGATTCACCTTGTTGCATGTTAGAAACCAACACAGCATTATAAAGCAATTATCCTCCAATTAAAAATAATTTTTAAAAACCCCACCAATTCCCATTCTTAGGAACTTGGAATTCCCAGGAATAACAGGAACGCATCCCGCTAGTACCTGTCTGGGAAGAAGGGCTTTGGGAGGAAGGGGAAAACGTTTCTAAATTCCCGTGGCGCTGGGGCAGCACACTGGGCCCTGTGTGCTTGGCTGAGACAGAATGTGGGCCCCAGGGAAAAGCCAGGCCCAGCCTAGCAGATTGGAGAGAACACCAAACCGTGCTTGTAACCCCCTGTCTTTGGGCCACAGGTTCTCTGTCATTTTTGCGTTCCTCGGTGCTCTGATCATCACAACCGTTCTGTTGCTCTTCCCTCGAGCCAGTGAAGTCCCAGCCCCCGAGGCAGAGATGAAGGTAAAAACCTGGGTTTTGTTTTGCCTTCTGAGTTGTCAGTCCTCTTTCTCCTGGTCTAGACCTCTGCCCTGCTCCGCGTGGTCCCCAGTGCCAGGAGGGCTGAAGTGTGTTCAAAAAATTGTAAAGTTGAAACCAGGATGGGGTGTGGGGGTGGCTCAGGGTGGGTTTTAAACTTCCTCCCGCTTCTTCCAATGCCCGCTGGCAACACCTCCAGGCAGCTATTTGCCTGGATTTGGCTTCTGAGCGAGTGGTGTGTCAGGAAGCCGCCTCACACTGCAGGGCCAGAGACGAGCAGGCAGGCTCCCACTCCTGGTCGCCTTGGCTCGGAGACTCAGATCCCAGGCGACACTTAGGCAGTGCCCTCAGGTGCTAATCGACATGCTTTTTCATCATGTGTTTGGATTTTCCCACTGGCGGTGCGGAGGGAGTATTCTCCATAGAGAAGAGCAGAGGGGAGGGAGGAACTCTGCTGTGGAGGGTGGGCAATGTAGCAACAGACGCACTTCACACTAACAGCCTTCGGGGAGTTCCTTCCATCCTCGTTTCCAGGACCGGATCTCCCAGCACCTACCTGTCTAAATGAAGTTTTATCATCTCTCTCATAGACCCCACCCATCCTGGTTCCTTCCTGACCGGGGCTCTGCCTTTACCATGCGTAGCTGGTCTCAGGTCTCTACAGTCTTGATAATCTCTACAATCTTGACATCCTGTGGCCCATTACTCCTTCTAGCAACTTCTTTCTGCTATTTTAATTTTTTTTAAGATGTAATGGTGGCACTTTCTTGGAGGTCCAGTGGTTAAGACTTCACCTTCCAATGCAAGAAATATGAGTCCAATCCCCCTGGTCAGGTAACTAAGACCTGACATGCCTCATGGCCAAAAAAATCAAAACAATGTTGTAACAAGTTCAATAAAGACTTTAAAAATGCTCCACATCACCAAAAAAAAGTAAACAAAAAAGCAGTAATGGCAATAATAGCTAACACTGTTTAAGGCATCACTATGTGCACGGTCCTGTGCTAAGCATGTTATTTACATGCTCTCATTCAAACCTCAGGACAACCCTAAGTAGCATGACACAGGTACTGTCAGTGTCCCATTTTACAGGTCAGGATGCTAAGGCTGGGAGGGGTTAGGGTAACTTACCGAAGGTCATACATACACAGAAAGAGGCTGAACAAGGATTCAAGCTGAAGTCTTCATACTGGGGACTCATTAGAATATCAGGGGCCATCGCCAAGAGTTTAAAGGCAACTGTTTTGACGCCAGGTAACAGTACACAAAACGATATTATAACTTCTGAACTAGACTCGGCACCCCTTTCTAGTACCATGTAGGGCTGTCCATGGCAAAAGGGAGGAAATTCATTCTGAAAATTCCAAGGGAAATAATACTTAGCCACACAAAACTAAGGCACTGTTTTCATACATGCTGGGTTTTTTGGTCAGCATCTGACAACCACTCTGACCATGTCAATACGGTGTCCGGTTTCCTGTCTTAAATGGGGAAAGTGATGAAGTTTGGGTATTTCTGAATCACTGGGGATGTGAACATTGGAAGAAGGGCACAGAGCAAACTGTCGTGAAATCAATCCGTCTTCCCTCTTCCCTCCGTCATGTGAGTCGGTTTCAGACCAGGAGAGCAGATCAGCCTTTTGAACAAAATCTGTTCATCAGTGCGGCCAGCAGAGATTGGAGTTCTCATTTTCAGGTTTGGAGTCCCAGCCCCTGTAAGCGGTCCAGCTCAATACTGTATCAATAATACATGGCCTGGGCCTTCCGCACCCAAGGCCTGCTAATTGGCTAATTAAAAAGTGAACCGTGTCGAACAAGCAAACATGTAGCCCACGAGAGACTTGTTCAGTCCTGGAGCCAAGGTCAAAGTCATGTCAGAGCCGTTTCATCCACCCGACCTTTGTTGTAAGTTGGCTGTTGGGGTAATCTCCGGAGCAGCCCTCTCCCCTGGTGTCCTTGGATCTCAGTGATCACAGCAGAGCTTGGACTTGACAGGTGCTTTGTGCATCTCTGCTGTATTAGTTTCCCACTGCTGCTGTAACAAATTACCGTAAAATCAGTGGCTTACAACACACATTTACTATCTTAGAGTTCCACAGGCTAGAATCCCAAAATCAGCCTCGTTGGGCTAAAATCAAGAGGTTGGCAGGGCTGTGTTCCTTTCTGGAGGTTCTGGGGAGAAATATTTCCTTGCCTTTTCCGCTTCCTGGGGCCACCCTTCGGCTTGTGGACCCCTTGCTCCGTCTTCAGAGATGGCAAAATAGCATCTCTCTGTGTCTGCCTCCATCCTCACATCTCTGTGTCTCTGACCCTCTCTCCTGCCTCCCTCAACCTCTTCTGAGGAGCCCTGTGATTACATTGGGCCACCTGTATTAAACAGTTCAGGCCAGCCTCCTTATTTCTTTATTGGAGTATAGTTACTTCATGATGTGTTAGATTCCGCTGTGGAATGAAGTGAATCAGCCATATGTACACATATATCCCCCCCACCCCCATCCCACCCCTCTGGGTCATCACAGAGCACCAAGCTGAACTCCCTGTGCGACTGAGCAGCTTCCCACTAGCTGTCTGTTTTACACATGGTGGTGTATATATGTCAATCCCAACCTCCCAATTTGTCCTACTCTTCACTTCCCCCAAGAACATAAATACTATGAAATATCATTACCCCTAAAAAGGAACAAAGTTGAGGCATTTGTAGAGACTAAGGATGGACCCAGAGTCTGTCATACAGAGTGAACTGAGTCAGAAAGAGAAAAACAAATATCGTCTACTAACGCATATATGTGAAATCTAGAAAAATGGTACAGATGAACCTATTTGCAGGGCAGGAATAGAGACACAGAGGTATGGACATAGAGAATGGACAGTCTGCCTATTTAAGGTCAATGGATTAACAACGGTAATTCCATCTACAACCTTAATTCTCCTTTGTCATGCAGTTTAACACATTCAGAGTTTCTGGAGATCAGGATGTGGACCTTGTAGAGCCATTATCCTATCAACCACTACACTGCAGGTATCTGGGGATCTCTTCAGGTACTAGGTTCTGAAAGCTTCGGGAAGTCGCAATGTCCCTGGTCACTTGGTTTGTGTTCCTGCTCTAGTAAGTCTGTAGATTAAACTGCTTTTTCCTGCCCAAACTTAGGCAGCACCCTTTGGATCTGTGGAAAGCAGAGTTCCAGCAGTGAACGGTAGACAAGTGGGTAAAGCCAATATGAATGACAGGCTTCTGTCAGCCAAGACCGGCAGCTCTGGGGCCTCAAGTACGACTGGCTGCGAAGCAGCCAGCGGTACAAACTGGGACAAATTTCCTTTCCTCTTAGTGTTTCAGGACCGCAGGTAAATGGCCATTTCCCCAGCCCTTGGAAGGCTGGGTTATGAATGTGAGGGTTCAGAACTCCTCTGGTGAAAGTTTGGTCATTTTCATTTTGAAAATGACCCCTCCTGAGTTGGCCATGGGTTGATGGAGTGGGGGTTTGAATCTTGAGTTTGTGGGGGATTATTATACTAATACGTGTTTAAAGTTCTCCATAATGAAAAGTTGACAGCCACAAAATAAGCCTTTCTGAGACCAAGCAAGCAAGGTTCTCATTCATTCTTTCAGATAACTCATTTCAGAACAGGAAAGAACCTGCCTTCAGAGTGTTTATGTATCTCCTATACCAAGCCTATGTTTGTTCCCTGTACTTTATTAAGCCTTTTCATTAAGCTTCTCTTTATCTTGTTTCTGGCTCAGCATGTTGAGAAAAAGGTTCTTTCTTATCCATTTGCAGGATGTTACTGGAAGTTATGAATATGGACACACCCTGGGCCTACTCATCAGAGATTCCAGTTGAGCACAGTCAAGGTACAGATGTGACAGTAATTTCACTTTTAATGTTTCTTTCTCCAGATTGTAGATGCCTTTTTCATTGGCCGCTATGTCCTGCTGGCTTTCCTCACTGCTGTCTTCCTTGGAAGCCTTTTCTTGGTTCTAATCCATCACATCCTGGAGCCAATCTATGCCAAACCACTGCGGTCTTACTGAGCCACCTTCAGGAAAACCAAGACCTTGTTCTCCTCCTCACTTTGATGTCATTGGTGAGCAGAAATTGTTCAGAGCTTTATGTTGACAGCCTTCCTGCTTTAAGATCAGAGGATCATCTCTTCATCACAAAGACAAATCCGTTGAGTCCTGGCTTCCAGAAACAGGATTGCAGAATTGCCCCCGAGGAGAGAGTCTCACCAGCTTAAGGGGGATATCGCCATCTTCTCAGCACCCGTACTTCAGGTTTTCCACCTCTTTTGAAAAGGAAATAGCAACCGTGATCTGTGTAGGTTTTTGATCAAGACATCAGTAAGTGAATTTTGAAAAAAAGGGTACTTTAGCTTCTACTGTCCAACAGATGGAAGAACTTGGTCCTTTTTGATAATATGTGAAATACTTAATCTCAAGGTCAAGATCATTTGGGAAAGAAAGGCCCTCAAAGTTCAAAAGATTATTTTAATGTGGTGACTTGGAGACATATTATCAGATGCTAGCTATGCAGCACTCTGCATGTCACACCACGGGGCTCCACGAAGGCCTTGGTATCACTTCCCGCTGCCTCGAGAAAGCAGTCAACAGCAGCCAGAGGACTGATTTCACCTTGATCTCCTGGGCACAGCTTCCTGAATCTAGCATTTCTATAGTTCAGGTTCATGGGGGGATTAGAGGCAGAGTTTAGAAACATCAGTTGTGTGTCCAGCGGCTCTCTCTGGATTCTTCTTCTTCCAGTATTTGGAGGTCTTTGTTCCTTTATTTAGTTACTGTAAGTGTCCATGTTGGGTTATTGTCATCTCTTTCATCTTTGTAGCTCTTTCTCCAAAGCTGATGAGGAATGTCTATCCCTAGGCTTAGATATAACTTTATACCTAAGTTCCCAGGCCAAGTGAAATCTGTCATTAAACGGGGGGTGGGGGCAGGCAGCTCTAGGCTGTTTCCACTTTGGGAGTCTCAACCTGGCACCCGAGAACTATTTGAAGGACCTTCTGGATGAAAATTAAGAACCAGAAAACAAGTTGGAAAAAGAACTTTGATAGAGTACATGCTATATGTCTGTAGTGCACAGTCTTCCCCCCGCCCCACCTCCACAAATGTAAATGACAAGCTTGTGTGTTAAGGGCAAAAATATACTTTTGTACAAAGGGTGTTTTAACTCAGCCTGCCTTCTGTAGATCCCATAACTACCGGCAGTGGTGAAGTGAATGATGGATCACTTTATATCTTTGTGCTCAAAGCAGCCATATCCAACCCTTAAAGAAAAAAAGAAAGAAAACCCACAGGATTGGGATCAGAAATAGAAGGCTGAGAGGGCACAAAATCACAAAATGAGTTTCGCTAAGCTCTATGGGGGGGAGGGGGACCTGCAATAATCAGTGGTTAACATGGCCCCCCTTGTGTTCAGAGCCTTCCTGGAGACAGAGCTTAGAGCTTAGAGGGTGTCCCTTCAATACAAACAGAAATCATCTCAGTGTCCCCATTTGTTGTTCTTTGATCAATGGCCTCAGCACAGGTTGTGCTACCCAGAGGGAATCCTGTGCCAAAGAAACTGGTGATCCCACTGTTTGAGAGATGGGAGGAGAGCAAGTCAGGGCTCCTGTGTAAGAAAACAGGTTATTTCAGTTCAGTTCAGTCGCTCAGTCGTGTCGGATTCTTTGTGACCCCATGGACCACAGCATGTCCTCTTAAAGTTGTATTCTGACAAAGACGGCATCAGCACATTACCCCCCACCCAGTGTCTGGTCCACTAGGTGGCGCTGTCTCAAGCTGCAGAACACACCAGGTAATTTTTTGAGTTCTTTCTGTGTCTCATAAAATAGAAATAAAGCTAACATTCTTTACTGTTGCACAGTATCAGATATTTAATCTAAAAATTTATCGGAGTTATTGTACACTGTTGAGTTGCTAGGAAATGCACTACCACTCACCCATGTTGCACACAGCAGGTATCAGCGTTCACTCGGCGCTCACTGCACCCACAGGGTGTGAAGCATGGTCCTTGTGGAATAAATCCACTCGAGAAGGAGGCGCTGAGGCATCCCAGCTGCCTTCCTGACTCCATCCTGGGATGAAGGCATCCAAGTCATTTCAAAATGTTTTTATCCTCACATAAAGTAAGCCATTTCTTGTTCTGTTCTCTAAGACAGACTTTTCTATCAACTCTGTCCTGTCACAGTTGCAGTTGAACGATTTTGTTTTGCTTCGATTTGCATCGATGGGTCAAGAAATGTGCTGTGGGGACTTCCCTGGTGGTCCAGTGGTTAAAGAATCCGACTGCCAATACAGGGGACACAGGTTCAATCCCTGATCCAGGACGATCCCACATGCTGCGGAGCAGCTGAGCCCATATGCCACTCAGTTGGCACATGTGCCGCTCCTGAAGCCTTGCAAGGAGAAGCCCTGGCACCCCAACAAAGAGTAGCCCCTATTCAGCAACAAAGACATGGCACAGCCAAAAATAAATAAAAATACAAAAGAAACCTGCTGCAGTTATTTCACAGATGAGAGACAAGCAGAGAGATAAGGGGATTATAAAAAGTTGCACAGGTAGTTAGTAACGAGGCTCCCACTTAACACTGGGATCCTGATATCTCATTTCTCAGTTAATGATCAGTTTTGGCTTTCAGGCAACTCCTTATTTTTCCATTGGTTAATATTATTTCTTAACTACTTATACCCACCATTCCTCTGACCCATATCCAAAACAGGTAAAAGTTTCATTAAAGAATTCCTAATAACAGGTGCTAGTCACCCAGTCGTGTCCGACTCTGTGAGACCCATGGACTGTAGCCCAGCAGGCTCCTCTGTCCATGGGATTCTTCAGGCAAGAATACTGGAGTGGGTTGCTATTTCCTTCTCCAGGAATCTTCCTCACCCAGGGATCGAACCTGGGTCTCCTGCATTGCAGGCAGATTCTTTATTGTCTGAACTGCCAGGGAAGCTCAACCAGTTAACATTTATAGTACAAATAAAAAACATTTTATCAGGACTTCTTGGCATGAAGCTTTAAGTATTTGGTTCTTACCACATAGGAGCAACTTTCCAGACATGAGAATGGGAACCGTGTGGGTATGAATCTGAAGAAGTGCTGATTATCCTCACAGGAGCATAAAAATTCAGGATTGGAAGAGGTTTTATCACCCACAGAGTTCAACCTTTCATCTCTATTGCCAGCCCAGATACTTGGAAATATTCTCTTCTTTACCTGCTGAAGTCACAGTTTTTACTATATTTAGCAAACACGTATGAGGTGCTTTTCTAAGCACCCCATAAGTATTAACTAACGTCATCCTTATAGCAACTCTTAAGCACTCTTAATACCCCCATTTCACCGACAGGGAATGGGCACAGAGAGGCGAAGTGGTTTGCTTGAGGTCATTCAGCTAGGGGTTAAACAGGAACCAGGACTAAAGTCAGGCAGTCTCAGCTCTTCACTGTCTTTGACCGTGTTGCCCTGTAAGGTGAAAACAAAGGAAAAGGGGGAAGGCAGGAAGTAGTGAGGAAATGCAGTTGAATCTACTGCAAAATCTGGAATCTCAGGAATCCAGGGCAAAGCAATCCGAAGCCACATGGACTCACGGACAGCTTCACTGATCAGCTCTGGCTTGGGGGGCCCTGCACTGTAAGACTTCAGCTTCCCCCTCAAGTAGAGCCCCTCACTGATGGAGCGACTGGTGGACTGACTGAAGGACACACACGACCACCTGTCTCTTCAGCACTGCCTGCCCGGAAAGATGGATACTTGGGTTGGTTTTCAGAGGCGCCAATGGAAGAACCAAAGCCGCGAGGCAAGAATGTATGTGCGTTTCTTGACCTCTGTCTCTAGGAAGTCACATCAGTTGCTGTTTACTCAAGGAAAAAATTTCCAAGGGCCCCCCACCCCCCGACTCAACACATATCCTCCTGCCTTAGTCGCCTGGGACCTAAGAAATGACAGCAGGGATCAAAACCAGGGCCCAGGACCACAGACAGAATGAGAAAGTTCATCTTCCGGTTCTACTCACACACACTGGATACTGTAAAGCAGGGGTCCCCGACCTCTGTGATCTAATGCCTGACGATCTGAGGTGGAGCTCGTGTAGTAATCCAAGAAATAAAGTGCGCAACAAAGGTAACGCACTTGAATCATCCTGAAACCATCCACTCTGCCCCTTGGCCCGTGGAAAAATTGTCTTCCACAAAACAGGTCCCTGGAGCCAAAAAGGTTGAGGACCACTGATGTAAAAGCTATGCATTTAGCTCAGGTCCTGCCCTCAGGGAACTCAGGGTAGTTACACATTTATTTGGTATTTGGTGGCATTTATTTGGTACTTAAATGCTCTATTTCCATCCTCTCCACTTTTTTTTTTTGTTTAATCTTTGAGGATTTCTTTGGTTTTGCTATCTTCAGATTGATATTGGCCCCTTTTAACCCTGGGGATGTGTAATAGTTTCCTATTGCTGCTGTAACAAATTACTACAAACTTGGTAGTTAAGAGGGCTTCCTTGGTGGCTCAGACAGTAAAGAAACTGCCTGCAATGCAGGAAACCCAGGTGCAATCCCTCGGTTAGGAAGAACCCCTGGAGAAGGAAATGGCAACCCACTCCAGTATTCTTGCCTGGAGAATCCCATGGACAGAGGAGCCTGGTGGGCTACAGTCCATGGGNAGAATCCCATGGACAGAGGAGCCTGGTGGGCTACAGTCCATGGAATGGCAAAGAGTCGGACACGACTGAGCAAGTAACACTTTCACTTTTTTCACTAGTAATTTAGAACAATACCAATTTATTAACTTATAGTCCTTTTGAGGTAAGATATCTGAAATGAGTTCACAAGGCTAAAATCAAGGTTTTGGAGGCTGCAGAGAAGAATCCTGTTTCCTTGCCTTTTCCAGCCTCTGGAGGCTGCCCATATTCCTTGGCCTTGCCTCCATCTTCAAAGCCAGCATCTTCTGGGAATTCCCTGGTGAACCAGTGGTCAGGATTGAGCACTTTCACTGCTGAGGATGCAGGTTCAAATCCCGGTCAGGGAACTAAGATCTCTCATGCAAGTAGCAAGGCGGAGGCCAAAAATTAAAAACTTTAAAAATATTTTTTTAAAAGCCAGCATCAGGGACTTCCCTGGTGGTCCAGTGGTTTGGAATCTGCCTTCCAACACAGAAGACATGGGTTCGATCCCTGGTCAGAAAACTAAGATCCCAGGTCGGGACAACTGAGCCTGCATACCACAACTAGAGCAAGAAGCCCGCGTGCCACAAGGAAAAGATCCTGCATGCCCCAAACTAAGGCCTGACGCCGCCAATAATAAATCAAGTAACTAATTAAATGTTTAAAAAGGCCAGCATCATCTAATCTGACGCCTGACACTCCTGCCTCCCTCTCCGATCAGGAGCAGCTGTGATTACATTGGGCCCACCCCCCAATTCCAGAATGGTCTCCTCACCTCATGGTCCTTAACCTCATCTGCAGAGTCTCATCTACTATGAAAGATAACATTCACTGATCCTGGTGTTCAGGATGCATATCTCTCTGGAGGAGGGGATATTATTCTGTGCCCTCCCCCGCAATGTATGGCCCCATCCTCCACCCCTAAGGACCACCTCCTTCTACCGCCCCTCCCCCATCCTCCCCTTACCCCATGCCTGCATAGCCGAGGCCTGCCCCTTAGCTCCAGGCCCACTCTCCGGTTTTCAGCATGCCCACCGGCCCCACAGCGTGTCCGTTCCTTCCCCAACCTCTCACTCTTGGTGGCCCCCCTCAGCGTGGAGATCCACCGAGAGCGGCTTTCCTTTTCTTAGCTGATCCCCACTCCCCTTCATTAGCCCAACCTCCCTCCCCATGGATCTCCGAAGGAGGGATGCGAAGAGTTACTGCTTTTTAATTACAAGTGCTATCGTAACATCTATAAGGAAGAACACTTTAAGCTTAATTGAGACCAAATGTGAAGTTAAATTAAATGAATAACTAATTAACGTGATGCTCCCGCATTAGCCCCGAGTGAGTGTGGAGGCCCAGAGAGGAGCCAGGTAGGTCCCAGGCCTCCAGGGACAGACAGCTGGTGCCCAGGGCTGTGGGGAAGCAGGGACCCTAGGCTGGGGAGCCAGGTGTGACAGGGCAGATCTCAAGGAGAGTGGGCCCCAAACTCCCACCTTCACCCCAGCCCTCATTTCTGAGGCTGGCCCCGAGCACCCGCATGCCCTTAGCATCTCCACAGCACCACCCTGAGCCGGGGACGGCATCCTGTGCGTTTTCTAGTCCCTGTCTGTGCTCACATGTTAGGGGCTTCATGCATGTTCATTTTAACTTCCGTCCTGTTCATTCTTCCTTCTGGACCGTCACATTTGCTCGTCCTCTGCGACTGGGATCACCCTCCCCGGCCCCGCCCCTTCAGGGCTGGAGGGGCTGATGGCAAAGTCTCTGGAGTCACCCACCCCGGTGTTTTTTTCTTGCATTGTTTAAACGTTTCCCTATTCCTGTCTCATCCCCTAACTAGACAAGCCCGTGAGAGCTAACTTGTCTCCTTCACTCACAGGAATCCTCTGAAGGAGGTGACATTAATAGTTTTCTAATAAGGAGAAGGCTCAAAGCCATCAGCAGCGAGGCTGGGCAAGAGGAGACCTCCGGAGGAAAAGCAAGCAGATGAGGGGCCTCTTGAAACCTAAAGGGAGAGCTGGCCACTGGCTACCGTGGAGTGAAGGCGCCACCTAGTGGCTTCCTGAGTGTGCCTGCTTTGTTGTTTTTGTTTTTTTTAAAGACAGTGATGGGGGGGCGGTTTATCTATTTTTATTTTTTATTATTTATCTGGCTGCGTTGGGTCTTAGTTGTGCCACATCAGATCTTCATTGCCGCACACCGACTCTCTATTTGTAGCGCACGGGGCTCCAACACATGGGCTTAGTTGCTTCACTCCGTGTGGGATCCTAGTCCCCTGAGCAGGAATTGAACCTGTGGATTCCACGTGGCACTGCAACGTGGGTTCTTAACCACTGGGCCATCAGGGAAGCTCCTAACCCTGGTGCTGAAAGACGCCTTCTAGAACCTGAATTGCAGCTCCGCCCTGGGGGCCTGAGGACCAAGACATCTCAACTCAGTTCAGTTCAGCTGTCTCTCAGTCCTGTCCGACTCTTTGCGACCCCATGGACTGCAGTACACCAGGCCTCCCTGTCCATCACCAACTCCCAGAGTTTACCCAAACTCTTGTTCATTGAGTCAGTGATGCATACAACCATCTCATCCTCTGTCGTCCTGTTCTGCTGCCTTCAATCTTTCCCAGCATCAGGGTATTTTCCAATGAGTCAGCTCTTCGCATCAGGTGGCAAAGTATTGGAGTTTCAGCTTCAACATCAGTCCTTCCAATGAACACCCAGGACTGATCTCCTTTAGAATGGACTGGTTGGATCTCCTTGC